TGCAGCTAGAGAATAATGCGTCGTTGATGATGATTTCGAAAACTTTAGAGCAGGCACTGAGTGATGTGATCCCTCGGTAATTTTTGACGTTTCTCTTGTCTCCTTTCTTGTAGATCGGGAACATGAATGACGATTTCCAATGCATAGAGAACTCCCCCTGCTGTAATGAAATATTGAACAGCTTCGAAAGCGGTGTTGTAAGCTCTGAAAAGCATCGCTTCAGGATGCTTGAGCGGATCCCTTCAGGGCCAGCAGCATTAGAAAATTTCAGCTTCTTGATGGCGGATTCGACGAGGTCTACTGTAACCGAGGTAATCGAAGCATCACTGGTAGTGTCCCTCACCGCTTCAGCAACTTGGGACAACGAAGACATAGTGTTATTGAAAATGCTTTTGAAATGTTCTGCCAGAAGATTACATTTCTCAAGGGAATTGCTGACGATTCTGAATTTCGACTGATAGCCCCTCCTTGTTTCGTTTGGTATTCACGAATGACCAGAACTGCTTTGGATTAAGCCGTAAATTAGCCTGCACACGCCTTGTGTAGCTCTTGTAAAGAATGCGGTTATATGTGCGATATTCGTTGCTCCCTGTTGAAAATAATCGTTTGGTGAATGGGTTACGAGTACGACAGTATTTACGGAGGGCCTTCGATCTCAGACGCTTCAAATTCCGTAGTCGAGCATTGGACCATGCGGGTTTGGGAGAGGGTCTCCTCAATGGGACAGAATCAGTTATTGCCCGGCCAACGACCTCAGCGAAGTAGTTGAGGGCTTCATCAATAGATGAACACGTGTCAAGGAACTGCCAATCTGCCTGGGCAAGCGAGTGACTCAGCGAGACGAAATCTGCTCTACGAAAGTCGAGCTCATGTACATCAACAGGGGGGTTACCGTAGCGAACAGGAACAGATAGGTTGATGGAAACTTCCAACGCAGGATGATTGGTGTTGATGCCAATCAAAGGCTCTGGGGCTTCTAGGATAGAACATTCCAGTCCTGCAGCTTCGTTCGCCAGAACGAGATCTAGCAGCCGAGAGTTGCTATTCAGTATCGAGTTGATTTGCGTTAAGCCATGCAGGTTGAAACCATCAAGGAGAGCACAGCAGGATGCGGGCATGTTCGAGCGAAGAACATCAATGCTAGGAAGATCGTTTGCAGGAACGTTCCATGAGAGCCCAGACTGATTGTAGTCACCAAATACCAGAGGTCGTTTTGTTCTAGTCGAGAGAACACGGTACCAATCGAACTGATGTGGTTTGCAATGCTGCTCGAATCAGATTTCCAGTCTGGAGTTAGATACAATACTTATTGATCTACGAGGCGTCGTTATTTTGACCCAGAGCTGCTCTAGAGAAGTGCAAACTGGAGCAGGATCGATGCAGGAACTTAGGCGTTTGGATACCGCAATTAAGACGCCTCCCCCACGCAATTTGGTACTATTCTGGTGGTTGCGGTCGTTACGAAATACCGTGAATAGACTGCCAAATAATTGAGATGAATTAATGCGGTCATCGAGCCAGGTTTCCGTAAGAACTATGACATCGTTGTCAGAGTCAACGGCAGTCAGGAAAAAATCATCATATTTCGTAGTAACGGAATAAAGACAATTTTTTCAAGTTTCAGATTCAAAAAAAAAAAAGGTCGTTCCAGTGAGCAGCTTAACTTGACTGGGTGCCTTGAGCGTAGTAATAGTTTTGCCCAAATTTTAATTCTTGAAAATTTTATAATTTCTCACAAATTTAATAAGGAATCAAACTTGAAAATTGCTTTTTTATTCTTTTTTTTTTTAGAAATTTGAACTTTCAGAACTTTTACAACTATTCGAAAAAAACTCAAAATCTCAAACGCCACTTTTTTTTTGTATGCATTTTTGTATTTTTTATTTTCACTCATCTAGTTCCATACCCAACAAAGCAACTACCCTTGTGTGGAAGTAGAACCATCGCGACGATCAGCAAAATGAACCAGTAAAACGGTAGCAACCAAGCTTCTAATCCTGAAGCAACCGGGCCGATACTCTTCTGAGAGCCCATTTTTCATAGCAAAGTTGAGGAATCCTTCGCCACGCCTTTCCAATCACCGGGTCAACCCATGTCCAGTAGTAGCCGGGCCGAGACTCTTCCAAGTTCCGATAGTCTTCACTGCGTCCTTCCAACCCGTCGCAGTTATCTCCTGCCGAGACTCATTGAACCAAACAATATGGGATTATCCGGTCCGATTTGCTGATCCAGCACGTCATCATCATCTTCCAAAGGCTTTAAGCCTGTACTACCATCGGCCCTTTTCAGGTCCACCAAGATTTTCCAAAAGATTTAAGTTTCTGAACATGTCCCAACTAAAATTCATATCAAATGGTTCTTTTCAGGGCAATCATAGTCATACTAAAGAGTATAAACAGAGAGAACTCCGCTCAAATTCCTATTCCTACCCAAAACACAAGCTCTTGCTGCAGTTAACAAATAACATTTATTATATAAGACCGCGTAGTCCTACGACACCATTGCGTACAACTCCATAGGACTCAGAGTCTTGAAAATTTAACCGAATATTAGAATTATGACTATTTATCCAAATTTCAGATTTTTGAAATTTGGTCGTCTTCAGAGGTGCAAATGTTGGCTGAATCTCTGTAACTTGACAATTTTCCCAACTCTTAGATTCTAAAATGATAGACTAAGATTAAGAAGTTAAAATTTTTGCTGAAAATCGATACGGTGAAAGCTCAGCCATCAGTCGCTATCCATCTCTCAGACTGATTGGACGTTGTATCACCAGACAATACTTTCGAGCATCTTTTGTGCGACGCGCGTGTGTTTTTTTTTTTGCCATGCGGGCTTTAAGAGCAAATTGTGTCGTGTTAGACACATCAATTCTTCCGAAGCGACCGTGTATATCAGATATTAAAAATTTCTTGCACAATGAGCTCCAGCTCGACATGTCACTGGTGAAAAGTATCCAGCCACATAATGTCAAGAACGTTGTGTATTTGGGTATGAAAAGTGACGTAGTGGCAGAAAGAATCGCTTCAGCTCATCACCTGAAGCATTTCATGGAATACGAAAGGAAGAAGATCTTGATTCCAATTTACGTTGAGAGCAGTGCGGTCGACGTGCGCTTACATGATCTTCCGGACGACATGGATAATGTGGCTATCATTGATCATATGCGTCAGTATGGTGAAGTGATAGCCATTAGAAGCGAAGTCTGGAAGAGCTATTTTCCCGGCTTTAGTAATGGAGTACGCGTTGTCAAAATTAAGCTTACTCTCCCCATCCCGTCGTACATAACCGTCGACGACGAAATTACGATGGTATCCTACCATAATCAGGTAAAAACGTGCCGTAATTGCGGGCGCAGATCCCATCCCAAACAACGTTGCTCTGAGGTGGCAACAGCAACTGCAAACGAGGACAATAATCCCCCAACTGATCAACAGAATAGAAGCATCAACAACAGTAACAGCGTGAAGAGTCAAACAGTCAACAAACAACAACCAAACGCAGCCAACGGTAAGCAGTGGCCCTCTCTTTCCAAACCAACACCTATTGCAGAGCAACAGCACAACAATAAAACTGAAACGAAACGCCAAAGATCGATCGATTCGGATACTACGAACAATGAAACGAAAAAATTGAACGCAAACGACTCCACCGAAAGTGATAGCAGCTCGATGCCAGTGAGTGGTGATATTTGTCCCTATACGCAGCGCCCATATAGGATTCCAGATGTTTCACACATTGAAGATCCAGAAGAACGGTGTGCATTGATCGAGGAGAACAAGAGGAGGATTGATGCCGCCTATTTAGAGCAGCTAATGCATAAGAAAAAGAAAAAAAGTGCTTCCTAATTAAAATAAATTGTCTATTTTTTCATAGCATTCGGCTCCGTTGAGTCTTATTGACATTTGAGCCTAATAATAAAAAAATATTATTAAAAAAAAAAGCTCAGCCAACTCCCAAAATATTCCTAATTTGTCTGAATCCCGGAATGAGATTCTTGATAAACACCGACGCTACTAAATCACCAATGAGTAACAAAATTTACAAAATGTTGAAGTTTGTATGCATGATGTTGATTTTCCAGAATCATAAAGTGTTTCATGATCTTCTAGGCCCTGCATCTGCTGGGTGTGTTAAACCAACCATATTACTTATATGTCACATGCCTTACCATCTACCAACCGTCTACAGGAACAATTGACAGCGATTGTCCTTGTCACTTGATTTGGTTCATGTTTCAAAAGCCCTGCTCCATCAGCAGAAAAAAAAATGCATCGACCGTTCTCGAAAGCTATTCAACAGCTACCTTCATTCAGTCGTTTGCTCACAGTGATTGACCAAACTCTGAAATGGAATGAAATTTCATACCACCATCCAACGGACGTGCATGACGTGATACCATGACGATAATTCCATACCTCAGCAGATATGGATGGACGACATTCACTTGTGCACATTCTGGACCAAATGTTCAGGCACATTTCCGCCAGAAACGGAAGGGCGTCAACTCCAGCACACATTAAAAAAGTAAAGAAAAAATTCGTGAAAGTGGTACCAAGCAGAATTGAGACAAATCAAATTTGATATCTAACCTCCTCTTGTTTTCCAATATGAAAATCAAATAATCTTTTAAAAGTCCATAGTTGGCACATCTTGTGTGCTTTAAAACAAAATTCCCCGAATCAATAAACGATTAAAACAGGCTGGGAAACTTCTCTTAGCAACTTTGTTTGTAGAAAAGCACGATTTATAAAAAAAAGGTGGCGTCGCCGCTTTCATTTAAACGCCTCGGGTATGGTTCAGCTACTCACACGTTCGGGTGATGTGATATAGAGAGCTGTCTGGACCGACCAATTTGTTTCGATGACCATTGAATGAGGCTGAAGACTCTGAGACTCTGAGGCTCTAATTGAAATTTATTGTTAGCTGCCACCTGTTTAAATGCGATGATGTTAACGATAACGATCGTTCCCGGAAAATGGAACGTGCCGCTTGCTTACCTTCAGTGTGTGTTTTTGCGGTAACGTTGAGGAAGTTCTGGTTGACTTCGACATTCTCGTCAATGTCGGCCTCATAGATGACCTTCTCGAAGTAGAGTGGGTAGTCGTTCTTGTCGGCGTTACCGGTTTTGATGAATTTTGTAACTGTAACGAGAAGGTTCGGAAAAGGGTGGTAGGTGAGTTTACTTTTAAACGGTAATATATCAGGTTTTCATCATTATTCAAAAAATTAAACATATAGGGGAAATGGCTCTTATGTTGACCTATGAATCTAAGATTGGGCCCATCTCTAAAAATCTACTATTTATCTATTTTATCTACCTGGATATTTTTGGTGGCTATTGAAAATTTAGTCGATTGCTGAATTTATGTATGGACCCAAATTAGTGGTATTTAGGCCGACATTACATCCATTTCCCCTACCCTATTTGGATTGCTACTTGAATTTTTCACAAACCAGCAGTATTTTTTTTTTCTAGGAGAATTACATAACATAATTTGCATCAGTAAAATGTTCATCCCAACCATTTTCGATTTGCTGTTGATGGGAAATTGCTAACGAGATTTCTGTTAATTGTAGCGGGAAATTCGATGATTGGAAACCGCAATTATTTTATTGCAATTAAATTCGTTTGGCAGCGTGTATCAATGGAACTTGATATTCGACATTCAACAACATCGCAAGGATTAAAGTTAAAAATAAACTTGTTATATTGGTGCTTGCACTTCTATGGTGCAACCGTCGGTCATTGGTGGGTTGTAAATATCAACGTGGCTCAATAACTTCACTAAATTTTGACCTCCCGTTCTAGAGAAACGGATGCTTGTAATTAGTGTGGTAATTATTATTTGTGCAAGGGTAGGGAAAGGAGAGGCAAAGTGAACAGGTGGGGCATACTGTGCTTTAGCCTTAGATAGAAATTATTTGATCATTAATCATTGCAATGGTGATATTGAACCTACTACCAATAAATTTGTTACAAACAATTAGAAGTTTGGGACTACATTAATGGATGCTCATTATACCCCACCTGCTCACTATGCCCCTCTTATCCCTACAATCATTTCTAGGCAATAAATATTTTACTTCATTAAAAAAAAGCAAATCCAATATTTGTTTGAATTCTATTTTTCTCTAAAATATTGGCAAAATATATAAAAAAAATACAAGAAAATCAATCATTTCCTTAGATATTTTATTCATAACTGATAGTCTTGATAATAAAGCAAACTATTTTTTTTCCGTGATTTGTTTTCCGTTGATCTTAATTTCCCTACTGAGTACCAATACTACCAACGTCAGAAAGGCAGCTCCTGCATCTGGACCCTACCTATCGACCGATCAACTCATGGATCGGAAAGCAACGGCTTCACTTCCCTTCCGAAGGAAGGCGTGGCCAGAGATTTTATGTCTCAGAAAATCCCGACGGCGCTGACTGGAATCGAACCAAGGGTCTTTGGAGTGAAAGACAATCATGCTAACCATTACACCACCGGTGCCACTAAGAAAACCAAGCTAAACTAACTTAGATTTTTGAAAAAAAAAAACATCACATGTGTATTGAGTTGGTTGGAAATGCTATCTTACATGAAGCTTTAGTGTGATAATTTATTAGCTAATAATAATGGTCTGAAGAGTCTATGTAGATAGTTCTGCTAGAGTACGGCAGTATGAAAATTGAATATAAGTTGAAAATGAGCGAAGGGCCTTCAATGCGATCGTACTAGTCAAACGCACACTTCTTTACCTAACTCATCACTGGATGAGCAGATTGGAAGTATTTCTTCAAATCTGCAGGCAAAAATAGTTCTAACAACGTTACATGTATACATATTTTCTCATTATGGGAAAAAGTTGGACTTTAAACAAAACCAAAGGGTCGAATTAAGGTTTCTTGAGTAAAACGTTGTTGACTTAGAAGAAAAATATTTGCACGTTAAATTTCTTTAGAAAAATAAAAAAACAAAAAAAAAACATTGTAGGAATCTAAGATGGGATACCTCGACAAATGTTCATACTCTTTACATTATCTTTACATAATACTCTTTAAATAATTTATGGTGGTCCTGAGAAGGGCCGTTTTGTCGTGATGGTTGAGTAATGCTGAGCTGGGTGTTTAACACTGATGAGGCTGTCGAGCTGTATGTTGTTTGAAGCGAGGGTGACACGCTTGGCATAGATGACCGACCCCCGCACGAAGAGCTACTGATTCTGATTCTGATTCCAAGCGGTGGTGCTTCTTCTTCCTATAGTTGCTTATGTGGGCTCTGCAGCTCGCTGTTTGCAGGCAACCTTTCGTAGCGTACGGGAGAAAACGCGCCGAAAGCATTGCTGCTGCTGCTGAGGCTACTGCTACTACTGATGCTGCTGCTGCGGACACCGTCGACCGGGCACCACCACACACGGTGATTAAATGAGCACCTTCTAGTGAGATAGGATCGAATTCGATTTTTAAATCTGTGTTAGGGAATGCGCTGTTTGCAGGTAATCGGTGATAATTTTCATCACCATTGCAAAAGTTGGACATTGTTTATTTTTCAATAGTGACCTATTGAAAATTAATAGTGTTTATTTTAGAAATTTGCTAAATAAATATCCAATCGTTTGGCTTGTTTAGAATTAAAATCCATCTGCTATTGACAGAGTTATATGTATGTGATCAACACCTGACCTCTTTTCGTAATGCGGTCGAATTTTATTATCTGAAGTTGCACCCCCAAAAATGTTGCCGAAAGACGTAATCCTACGTAAAAAAAATACTCTTTGCCAAATTTATGATGGTCATGAAAAGGACCGATTGTCGTGATGGTTGAGTAATGCTGATCTATTAGGGTGTTCAACACGGATAAGGCTGGCGAGCTGTATGTTACATGGAACTCACAAACAGGCTGCTTTTTCATGGTATACACAGTGTGATGTTCAATAATCAATTAATTATCTCAACGTTTAGTGGCAGACCATTCATAATTTTTTTTTTTTTGTTTATTAATTTATTTGATAAGGCTCAACCGAATTAACTTTACAGAGCCGAGGATTCTTGGTCACTATACAATACATCTTAAAACTATAGTCAAAAGGTACAACACAATAAACACTTTATCTTCCGCTATCCAAAAAGCCTCCTCCATCAGAACTGAAGCCGCTTCCAGTAGTTTCATTGTATGGCAAATTGTTGTATGCCAACGAGGGTCAGAGTGCGTCCATTGCAGCAATGGACACAAAACGTGGTCAGCACTCACACACTCATCACGAAACGGTTGCTTTCCAAAGTCGACGACGCATCGACCGAAAGAACTGCTGATGAAGAACAATGAGGAGGACCACACAATGGTTGCTGTCGAGAAAACAGACGATCGCGTAGCACACATCGAGAGTGGCCTGCTTTTGTCGACAGCCGAGTGAACACTGATTCATAAATTTTGGTAACATACACAAATTATATAATTCATATTAATTTCCTATGCCGATCGAAACAAACATTATGACGTCACTACAAGGGTGACTGAGTAAACGAATCGTGCGAATCGAAATGAAAACCGAGTGAAAACGAATTTCACCAATACATTCAGGCCTACAATTCCACACCTTCTATAGACCAGGTTGAGCTTTGATAGTTAGCTGCTTACGGGAACTGACATCCGATTGATGACATATACAATATCCAAAACATAAATACTCTTTAACAAATTTGTGGTGGTTCTGAAAAGGACCGTTTAGTCGTGAAGGTTGAGTAATGCTGAGCTATTAGGGTGAGACTGGGGAGCTGTTAATTGTTTGGAGCAAGGTTGACACGCTTGGCATAGATGACCCACAGCTACTCACGAGGAAACTGATTTCGATCCAGCGGCTTCTTCCTCCTTCTATGGGTGCTCATGTGGGCTCTGCAGCTCACAGGCAGAGCAGCCCGTGGTGTACTGGAGAACAATGTAAACGCCACACGCTGAAAGCAATGCTGTTGCTGATGCTGCTGCTGCTGCTGACGTTGACGACCGGACACCACCACACACGGTGATTGAATGAGCACCGTTTAGTGAGACAGGATCGAATTCGATTTTTAAATCTGTGTTAGGGAATGCGCTGTTTGCAGGTAATCGGTGATAATTTTGATCACCATTGCAACAGTTGGACATTTGTGTATTTTTCAATAGTGACCTATTGAAAATTAATAAAGTGTTCAATTTAGCAGATTGGTAGATAAATTCCCAATTCTTTGGCTTGTTTAGAATTAAAATTCATCTGCTATTGACAGAGGTATATGTGGTCAAAACCTGACCTATTTTCGTCCCGCGGTCGATTTTGGTTTTTTTGAAATTGAACCCCCAATATGTTGCCGAAAGACGTAATCCTACGTCAAAAATTACAATATTTTATGATTCCGACAATTAAGCAAAGCAAAATGATAAAACAATAGTATCCCTATTTTATTAAAAATTTGAATAAACGTATGATTTCAAAGATTTCAAAATGTTGGAAACATTTGTTTTAAGATTTTTCTTAAAGTATGGGTTAGGATTAAATAAAAACAAAATTGGCATTTATGATTTTTTTATTAGGCCATCCTGGAATGAAATTCACAAAATTCACAAAAATCAACAATTTTATTTTTTTTTTCCACCAAATTGTGATGACTTAAAATAAATGTATTCACAAGGTAAAATTTCTGACACACTGGAAACAATTTGGATTCTAATTGGAATTCCTTTCAACAGTGTTGGTATTCTAATGAAACCTCGCACTTCTGTTTATTCTATGTATAAAATGCTCTTGTTATATTCATGACAGTTTCTTTGGTAATTTCTTCAGATTTATCTATAAGCATTTTTCAGAAACCTTTTGAAATCCACCTCCGGTTTGCTAATAATTTTCTTGAAACTTTCCTCAGAACAGTCCTGAAAATTTCCTCAGCACTTTGTCAAAATTCTTCTTAGTATGTTGCAAGGGTACTCCTTAAAATTTCCTATGATTTATACAGAACTCATTAATGTTAAAAATTTCTTTATAATTCTAGCCCAGTTTGCCACTCTTTGAAGTGCCAGACTGTTGAAAAACAAGCTAATTAGAAGAACTTTGAAAGTATTTGAATACGTCAGAATCTTGGGAAAGTTTAAGAGTCATTGGCGTTTTATGCAAGAGAAAAAATGCA